GTATTTCTGAGCTGTTCGTGGGCAAACTTTCCATCAAGCTGTGTGTCCACAGGCCCATGTGGACTTACTGAGGGACCTTGGCCGTGAGTCTAGCTGGTCTATGGACGTCCCCTGATGAGAGTGGAACCGGAGACGACAGGGAAGTGTAACTTGGGGCAGTTGTTTCTGCACCCTCAATGGCAGGTCCTTTATTGTAGCCCCCTCACAATGATGCCAGAGTTCTTTTCAGCTCAGCACCCAGTGCTGCGGCCCTAACAGCTGTGCACGCTGACCCGTAACTCCTGTGTCCATCTTGCTCACAGCATGGTTTCAATAAGGCTTCAGAGAAGTGACTTGGGGTGGCCCTCTTGTGGTGGACTGGCATTCCCAAAGCCATTTTCACTAACTGAGACATGAACCTAGAACAATCTTTATTATTTTGATTTTATTGTCATCATTCTCAACAGCTCCCCACTCATGAATCAGTAAATAATATAATAAAGTGCTAAAAACAAGTTGGAAAAAATGTTAGCAAACTCTGTCTCGTTTTAAATAGCCCACATTTCTCAAATATGTTACTGCTTTGTTCCGAATTCAGGCCAGCACTTTAAAAGAACAGAGAGTTCAAAACTGTTTCTTTGGAATATTTCTGTCATCTGGAAATGCCTATACATAAGCCCCATGACAGAGCTGCTTGGCTGAGATACCTGTTGACATGCTACCAGCCCTCAGAATAGAAGACAGAGCCAGCATCCCATGAGTCCAGGGGAAAATATCCAGCCCTGCTTGCAGAAGTAGTGCAATAGTTGAAACACAATAATCTAAATATGTAATTTCCAAAGATAATAGGTACTCTGGGTGTAACCTTCATAGTCATATATCTCAAAACAGAGGCTATCCCAACTGGTAAATTTATTTCCGGGTGGTAGGCTATGCAGTATGTGAACAACCATGCTGCAGGTCACATTTGGGGAAATCTTTAGAATTGTATCAGCTTTGTGAGGACACGGATGTATCTTTCTCCTTCAAATCTTGCTGTCTAGCCTGCCCGGTTCTCACAACATTTGTTAAAGGGAATGCTAATGAAAGTGCCCAAGACTCTCCTTAAGAACTGAAGGTCGCTTAAGATTCTGCTCAGCAGCTGAGATCATGATCTTAAAGTACCTTAAACATTGCAGAGGACAGACATTAGTCTAGATACTAAGGGAGAGACTGCATAATATATGTCACTGATAATGGTGTCTCATCTTTAACATGAGTTTATTTCTCCCAAAGCCATTTTCCCATCTTTTTCATCTATTTTCCAGGGAAAATAAAAATACCACACCCCTTTTCTGCTAAGTATGTTCATAGCATAAAAGAAAAGGTGATTGTAAACAATATAAGCAAGAAGTCAGAAGCTACCTAGTCTGATAACAACCAGGACTTTAACAGTGTTAAATAAGTACTTTGTGAATCTTCAGGATCATCAGAATGACCGAAAACTGTAGACAGCTGTGCTGTCATGCTGAAGGCATGACATTCCATGCTGCTCTGTTTATCCCTAGAGATTTTCAAATACTAAATTAAATCCTTTCGTCTTTATGTTTTGACCCAGCATTTGTATTAACTAAGGATATGGCCTCCTGAGGAGTGATCAGGACCAACACTCTGCTGTGTGACTGTTGAGGGATAGCGCCTCATCTCCCTCATCTAAGCCCTGAAGGAAACTAAATTTAAATTTGACAAAGCCAGAAAGCAGCCTCTCACTGTCCTTCACAGCCAACATTCCTATTCTTGAGCTTCCTTCCCCTCCCTTGCACCGCTTGGAATGTTACACTTCAGGGCACTCCACCAGGGATGGGAAGACCTGGATTCTATTCTTGGTGTTGCTGGTGAGTGGCTCTGTGTCCTTGAGCAGATGACTTTGCATCAGGGGCCCTTCGCTGCTGTGGAATGGGAAGGTGAGCTGGGTGATTTCAGGGGCTCTAGCATTCTGTAAGTCAGACAACACCCACCGGTGACATTTATGCTCAGCACCCTCTCCACCCTTTCCAAATAGTTCTAGGTGGTGACTTAGTATTATCATTAAAGTGCATCTTTCCACATCTTTTTATAACATTGTTTATGTTTCTTGACAGCACCTGGTGTTTCTACATTTCTTTTCCATTACGTATTGTATGCATCTCTTTACATATGTATTACACGTTGAAGGATCGAAAGGTCCTCAGGTATGAAGCTGTAATACTTTCCGAAACATAGAACAGAACAGTCATTTGGGTAAATACTTGCGTTTGAAAGTTTTAGTGTTCAAATGGATTAAAAGTAACCGGGGTTATACAACAAATTCCATATTTTTTCCATAAGGTTTTTAGCCATTTTGACACTTGTTTGAAAATCTTAGACCTGTCACTGTAAGTATCCCCATTGTCCATATTTTCAATCCATTTATTTTATGCATATGGTTATAGGAACTTTTCTGAAACAAAATTTGGGGGGAAAGATTTGAAATCTGTGAGTAGCTGTTGCCTTCATATCCTGTCATCTAATTGACTTACCTAGGAGATGTGAACAAAATACATGGTGAATATTTAAATTGGAAGGAATACATTACAGTAAAATGACACCTGGCCATTAATCGAACTAAAAATACTCTCCCTCTCTTTGAACACACTTATCCCGTTATCTTTCTTCCCACTTCCTGGAACAGTTTTGGAATTTCCATTTTTGAAATGTCCTTAATGTCCTTAGTGATCAAAAATATGGTGAGTGTTGCTACAGAATGCCATCCTAAGGAAAGGCAAGCTCATAAAACATCATGATGTGTCCTTTCCCACCTGATCCACCAAATCTGATAGTACTATGTGACTTCTAGCTCGTCCCCAAAGGCACAATGAACATGAGAAGTAAACGTTTGAAATCAACTCAGGACATCAGTGCACAGCTAGACATTGTTGAAAGAAGACTCCAGAACTCCTCCAGGAAATGGCAGGACAGTGAAATAGCTGTGTTGGAAAGAAGGAGAAATAGTTTGAGGGGGGATTGATGGCAGTATGTCTTTGACTATAATTCTTGTTTTAATTCAAGCATTCCCTGCAGCTTTTTGTCATATTTTGTGCATGTTAAGATCAGCTTTACCAGGACAGAAAGCTAATGAAGCAACTATAATACATAGTTCCTGGGGATTCTCAGGAAAAAGGCCATTGAAACATACTGTTGAGTGACCATTGGGTGTACTGTGAGCCCGATGTAATTTCTCCCGTGACTTAGCCACACACTGCATGAATTTCTGGTAGGACTTAGAAGAGAGTTTGTTTCCTCCTGTGAAGCTGGTGGGAAAAAAGCCTTAACCTGATGTACAAAGGGCACACAGAACTGAGAGGTCTGGAGTAGAGAAACCTGGCCATTTGCTAATTCTGTATCACTGCTCTTGCTTGGCTCCTTTTATTCATCTTTGTGTTTTGCTAAGGATGGAGGCAGACATGAGCAAACACTGATTGTGAGCCTGTCACTGTATGTAGCCTCTCATAGTCTTGCACCCCTATGAAATAAAACACATGCCCATTTAAGGAAGAAACAGAGCCTCTCATTTAAGTAGAATTGAAACCTAGGTCTTGGACAAAATTCTGGGACTCTCTAATTAGGGAAAACAATTCCAAGCCTTGTTGGTCCTCTACATAGATGTGTTTCTATAAACTTCTGCAAGATACTTTACCTTTCTAAGGCAAGATTGTCAGATTAGATCCATATATCAGGCACAGTTGCTAAGAGGATGAGCTAAGATAACTATCTCTCCATAGTCCTTACCACAGAGACTTACAGAGAGCTACCTCCCCATAACTAATCACTATTGTTGCCATAATTATGGTGGTGGTTACTGCTGTTGAGAATATGGTGCCAGACTCTCCGACCACAGGGCTGGATATTTTTCAGGTGTCCTATTTGTATTAACGTCCAACTATGGACAGATTTCCATTAGTAAGCATTTTAGATACTCATGAAATATTATCAGAAAGCTGGCAAAAGTAATATGAAAGTGAACATGCAATACATTAAAAATCACATAGGAGGAGCTCTCAACTTGAAAATAAGGCTTTAATATTTAAACTTCAATCTAGTCCATTTGCTGAATGAGAAACAAAGTCATTTGAGACTTTTTTCAGTATATTAAACCAGTCATCATTAGATATATGTCAGTACAAGGCCATCAGAAAAAGAAAAAAATGAATGAATAAATAAATACATACATACATAAATGTATGTTAATGGCGAGGCCAAGTCTCTTAGCATTTCCAGAATAGGCCAGTTTGGTCATGCTTTAGGGAGCATTTCCATGCTCTTGAGCTACTTTCCTGCAGGAAACCTCAGTTGAAAATAAGTCTGAGACTATCTTGCCATGTTTTTCTTGACTTCCCATAAGAAATAGTACCATCCTTTAGCATTCGCCACTTTCCTGTAATGTGAAGACATCGCTCTCTGTGTAGACACAGGCAGCATGCTATCGTAGAATCACACAGGGCTACCAGGGTCCCATTTCCATTTTATTTAACGGCAAAATTTCAGTAAATTCTCACACTTTTTGAGATTATATGTAGACAGATGGATTAAAAATGATCATATGTATAATCTAGCCATACACATATAATACACCACACATGTATAATAATCATAATCACTTCCCATGTTCTGCTACATCCAGACAGAAACGTCCAAGTCCATCCTGATACCCAGCTGAGGAAGGAGAGAGAGAAGTGCAAGGAGGAGGATAGCTTCTGCCCATAAGAAATGAATTTACTTTTCCTAAGAAAAGGAATCTAAAATTGGCTATTGTCATCATGTAATGTTAACCACCAGCTCTCTTGGCAGGTTTGAAAACACTAGGCTCCATTATAAAAGTTAAAAATGTCCTGGGCCTGGAGTTGTTTACCCAGTAGGAGCTGCTCTAAAGTTACAGAGAGCTGGTTGGAAGCAGGGGCAGAAGGCCGGCTCCAAGTCACTGACGTCACAGGAGTCTTAGCGGCTGCTGTGACACTGAGCTCAGCTCTTGGACTGTTGAATGTGGTGAAGGATTCAAAGGGACTAGTCAGTACCGCTCTGTGGGACGGGTTGATTGGGGCTGCATCCCCTTCCCCTTATTTCTGTGAAGATTTGCAGAGCTGAGCTTTGCTCTGAAGACAGCTAGATCTCCACTGTTCTGTCCATTGCGAGACTGACTGGGGTCCAGCTGCTGCGAGATTACCCCCCAGTGCAAAATAAGGTATGTTACTTTCTGGCAAATTTGGAAGCAAGTGGTTCATTCTGGCAAGATACAGAGGGCTGCTGCTGAGGCATTGTAAACTAGTGGAGCGTGATTTGGACATCTGCTTATGCTGGTGCCTGGGTCTGGGCTGAAGGACAGTGGGCGGGTGCGTAACGGATTGTACTGCCTGGAAAGGAGGCCTTTCAGCTGCTGAGGGTGGATTTGCAGGCCTGGACTGACAGTGCCGTCCGCTCCTGGGACTGTGCTTCTCACACACTGCTTCTCGGTCATTGAGAAAACACTGCCCATGCTGGGGTTTCACTGACTACCCTTATTAGAACATAGTTTGTGTTAGGATGAAAGCTTTTAACATTGGAAGATTAGCGTTCACAGCCCTTGAGACTGTTGGTGTTTGAAAGTTGCAGTGATGGTTTCGTCGAAGGTGATGGTGTGCAATGCAGGGTAAGTGCTTCTGTCATTTGAGCTGAAATCTGAGTCATTCCGAATGGGTTAATCTGCAGTAAGGAGGAAATCTCACCGCTGTATCTTCTAACACTTTGGACATGTGTTCACCCAAGCCAAAAGTTTTTATGAAAGCTTATGTTTTATTAAGAAAAGTAAAATTGGTGTGTGTGTAGCTTGGATGCTTTCTAGTTTGAGTAAATAACTAGAGAGATAAGAAATGATAATTATATGAGAAACTAAATGGATTGCTTTCAAATTGCAAGTGGTTGCATCTCTTTGACCTTGTTGGAACAGGAAGAACATGCTGAACTAGCAATAAAAAGCAACACTAAAAAATGCCTTTTCCCCTGTAACAAAATCAAATCCGGATGGTCTCTGGAAAGACGTGTTTACTGAATGATAGAGGAGGAAGATCTGTTAATTAGTGGAAATGAGGCAAGTGGTTTATAATAGCCTGGAAAGAGGGGTAGAGAATTTTGGAAGCGAGTGGTGCATTACTCAGATAGGTATGGCACGGGAATTCCTAATCCCTCCAAGTTCATAGGACGCAAAGCGTCTTCGGGCCAGATGACTTCTTCTAGGCATTTTGAGATTGGCAGCACCTGCTGTGCACAGCTTTCCTATTGGGATATGCAACCTCTGGTAAATAAGAAATCTTCAATTATATGAAGAGTAGAATGTTTAGAAAAAAGAAATAGAAGAACGAGAACAGAAAGCAAGCACAAAACTGAACAAAAACCTCTGAAGAGAGAAGTAGCAGTGAGGTAACCAGCCTCTCTGAAAACTGATAGTTTGGCTAGAATCCGCCCTTCGGTGGGTGAGACAGATGTTGAAACGGTAACCACCAAGCATATTAGGAAGGGAGTACAGAGGTGTCGCCAGGACAAATGGGGGCAAATTTGGGGATGCAAATCACTGTATGACTCTTGCGTTGCCCTCAGACTGTGCTTACTAGTAGGACTGGAAGGCTAGCAACACCATTCACCGCATCGCTACACTTGGCAAAACCACTCACAACTCCTGGCGTGCAGCCCTGGGGAGAAGTTGGTGGAAAGGGATTATGTAATGTTAGCTTCTCCTGGTGGGGGAAGAGCGCGTGCAGGACTGAGCAGTGTGGCTCACTCTGTCCTCTTACATTTGCTCTAAGAAATTTCAATCCTGAATGAAACTCTGAAAAGAGTGAAATGAAATGGACAGCAAAGAGATCTTTGGGGGAGGGACACAAAAATCCTTCTCTCCCACGTAGATGCCAAGCTCTGTGGGAAGAAGAGAGAGGACTGGGAACAGACAGAACTTTTATGTTTTCCTCCGTGGAGACACTAAAACTGAGTTTTCAAATCCGCAGATCCATTTTACCCCGTAACTTCTCATCACAGAACGTTCTGTCCCTACAAAGTTTGTTTTTTAATATTTAATTTAGAATTCCTGTACCACCAAAGCAACTTTATACAAGATTTATATTTACTATTTTACTAACAAAAATTTCTCCCTAAATATGTAACATTATATATGTCTTTGAAAATACTTGGAAAACACTGGGGCGAAGGAAAACTGATGAGAACAGGAAGAGCATTTACTCCACGAGACTTGCTTCTTTCCGTTTTCTAGTTAAAGATTAAAATAATCAATTTAACTCCAGACAAAGAAAAGGGATACAGAGGAAGAGGAGAAGGAAAGAAGGAGGGAGAAAGACCGAAGGAATAAACCAAGGACCGGACATTTAGCAAGCATTCATTACAATCCACACTGTTTAGACACTTTTTAAAAAAGCATTCTTTCTCTGGCTGAAACTTCTAGACTATCCTCTTCTCCCCTTTATCTTTACAAGAGGAAGTAGTCATATATTCAGCTTTGTCACACTTGATGTTTATGACAAGACTGAAATGCTAGCAAAGCTAACTAAATTCTCCCACAAAAAAACTGGCACAGATAGTGCTCTATAGAAATTTTCTTGCAAAGCCTTCCTTTGATCCAAAACTATTACATTTTCTGGCAGTAGAAATCGCTCTGGCCCTGGAGAGGTGAAGCTCTGCACCTTGGCCCTTCTCCAAAGTAAGTGAGGAGTTTGGCTCTTTGCAGATCAGTGTGGGATTCAAGGAATGTTACCTGGGCACAGACAGAGCCCTCTTACCTAAAGCAATACTTGTTCAGAGTATTTTTGGATGATCATCTGATAGATAAAAAGGAGAGGTTCTGGGACTTTTTAAAGTGATAGAGAAGTGGCTCAAGAAGACTTGGAATAGAAAGCAAAATTGGAGTCATTTGCTCCCTAATTATAGGAAAGCTTTGATGATGTCTGAACATTTCCAGTGTCTAAAGGCAGTTGGCAAAGAACATGGAATATCATGGCATTTTTTTTATCCAGGACTCTTGTAATTTGTGTGCTCCCTTTTTATAATTTCTTTGGTTAAATCTGAGGCTATCTCTTGATATTTTAACTACTTCACTCTTCCTAAGAGATTCCACTGGCAAATGACTTCTAGTCAGCAGGGCAGCTTTAGCTCACCATTACATAGAGTTTTAAAGTAGTCTGCCAACCTCAAAATAAGCACAGGCTGCACATCCTGTGAATGGGCGTGAGGCAAACTTAAAAGCTGACTAGGGAATCGGGATCAGTGACAGCTAGATTAACCACGGCAGACAAAACAAAGTTCTGTCAATTCTTTACTGTTTTCATTTTGTTGGGCCTTCATTGACATTTATTATGGCAAGTACTTCTGGTTACTGGATGCAGGGGTGGATGAGAACAGAAGAAAGGATGTCAGAAGAGAGAAACTGAAGTTAGAAATAAGCTTAGCTAAGAGAATAAAATAAGACACAATAGCATCTTTATAGCTAAGTTTGGAACTACTTATTTCCTTGAATTAATCATGATGCTGTGAGTGCAAAAAAGTAGGTAAAAATTATCAAAGTGTCTCTAGAGAATAGTTTGAGAGAGTAGACAGCTCTGTGCCTATCTGCTAAGAGTGAAATTCATCTTACATTGATCTCTATTATTAGGCTTTTTCTGAAGGTGGAGGAAGCACACAGTTTCACTTTTTCATGCTCATTAGGCTTATAATTCATTGATAGTCTGTGGTTCAAAAATAGACATATATATGTATGTATGTGTGTGTTCAAAACCATTTCTCATTCCAATATGTATGTTCAGAACAGTCTGACAAGAGTAAGATTAGGTTTTGATGATGTATATCTAATTTTGGGGATATGAATATGCCCCTATATTGAATACAATACTGTGCTCACTGTCTGTTTATGTAGACTTAATTTTACAATATTAGCACCCATGGTATATTGCTTATTGGAAGCTTTATCCATAATTAGCATAAGTGGATGTTGGTAAGTTATGGTATTTTAGCAACCCATTAGCTACTGAAGAATTGAATTTTTTTTCTGGTACTAGGGGTTGAACACAGGATCTTGCACACACTAAGTACACCTACTACCACTGAGCTATATCAGCAGTCCTCAATTTCTTGTAGCCACAATTACTTTAAACAGGTTCATACATTTTTAAATTTGCTTTTCTACCCACTAAAAAGATATATGACTTAATAAAAACTATTTTCAAAAAAAATAAATTTAATTTAAAAAATTAAAACTATTTTCAGTCTAAATCTAAGCAAGATTTTAAAGGAAAAAATATCAGCTGGACATGGTAGCATATAGCTGTAATCCCACCACTTGGAAGGCTGAGGCAGGATTGCTCTGAGTATAAGGCCAATCTGCGCTAAGTAGTGAGTTCAAGGCCAGCCTGAAAAACCCAGAATTAGACCCTATCTCAAAGAGTCTAAAAAAATTAAATGTCTCACACTTCCTTGCATTCAGTATGTCGTTTAATGTTTATAACTAGTCTGTGAATTCGTAGAAGACACTGGTGCTTTAAATTGTATTTTCAAACTCTAAATATACATACCCCAAATGTGAGCAATCTCATTATTTCAGTAAGAAGATTCTCTGAAAACTGAACAAAAAATTTTTCTTTAATTCTTTCTATTGAATGTGCTAAACAGGTTATCATTCATATATTATCATTGGAAGGAAAATAGAATATTACTAAATTTTAATATACAGGATAGTTTTGATGAATTTAGAATTTACTTGATGAAGTGAAATAATGATTTTTGATGATGTGGATTGGTTTCTCACCAAAATCTGTCCCCCGAGTTGACTTCCAGCTTGGGGTCCCGGCTGGTGTAGGAACAACATTTGGCATGGATTTGCTTTCTGAGGACAGAGCTGAGACTGCAGGCTGGCCCTGCTTCAGAACAGCAGGAGTAATTCAGTCATACAGATATGCGTATACAGTTGAATTTCATGCTTAGACTCTTATATATCCATAACATTTTATTGTTTGATTAGGTAGGTAGTTAAAGGAATGTTTATATGCACATGTGCATTTAAGCGTCATATCCGTTATAACTTTTGCATCCCTGTCTCCAAAAGGGAAAAAAAAAACCCTTAAGACAACAGTGATTATTGACCATATTCATTTCTTCTTAAGCAGATTGCTGTCATCTCTTCTTTTGAATCCAGTGTTCCTATAGTTTATGTCAGCAGCTCATGACAAAATGACCAAATATGTTTTCAGAAAGCACACGCAGTGGCACTCTCTCTTATGTTTACATTAGGCTTTATTTTAAAGGCAAGTGAGACTGCTTCAAATAAAACAACTCCAAGCTTCCAAGAAACAGTGGCGAGAAAGCAGAGACCAGCAGAAACACTTCTTCGCTGACACTCGCACAGCTGCCATGGACCTGCACAAGCACTGGGCGAACACAGAGACTGACTGGCATAAGGAAAAGATGGAATTACTGGACCAGTTTGACAATGAAAGGAAGGAATGGGAAAGTCAGTGGAAGATCATGCAGAAGAAGATAGAAGAGGTACACGCTGATTTATTTTGAATGTGTCATAGAGTTCAAAGTCAGCATGAAAATTCTGTTGATGTTTGTTTTGTATTGGAAACTATTTTTATGTCCTTTATTCTGCTGGAGAGATACATGTCTCGGTGACATTTACTAGACCAAAAATAACATAGCCTTACCCAAAGGCATCTCAGGGACCATGTTCATTTTATAGCATTGCATGAAAGTCAAGATTTGCCATATCACTGTAGAATGCATCAGTGTATTATTTTCAGGATGAATAAGCTTGGTATCAAATGTTGTATGCAGTCTGCATATGCTTGTAAATACCAAGGCCTATGCGTACAGATGCAAGAAATATATAATTGGTGGAAAGTATATTAGAAAAGTTATAATTGGGCTTTAGAATATAGATTTGCTGAGCAGATTTACAAATAATGTGTAGCAAAAAAATTATAATCAAAAGGACTGTGATATATCAAACAAGATGGCAGTGGATGTGAGATTTTTTGTGGCAAGTTACGCTATGTTTATTAGAAAAGGGATTGTGGAAAATGACATGCCACGACTGATACAGTCATTGTATTCCCCTAGACTATCACTTAGCCTGTTAGACTTAGACTGTTTCCTTTAAGCGTTTGCATTGGTGTGTATTCAAACTTGCTTCAGCTGGAAGATATTTATACTTACCTTGCTTTAAATCTACAACATTGACTCATATGGCTTTATGCCCCTTACCAAAGCAATTATATTAGCAGATTCCTTGGCCTTTGTTTGCAGGCAATAAAAATGAATGTTTTCAATGTTTATAATGGAAACAGTTTTTATGGACAACCAGCTAGTTGTTTGTGAATAACATAAAAGTTGACAAATTTGCGAGCCAAAACGAAAGAAGAAAGAAAAGAGACGGCAGTCCTATGGAGTATGATCAGAGATTAAATGACCAATACACCCCTTGTCCCTTCATAATTTGGAAAATGTGTTCTGCTTGTCCCTTTAACTCCTCTGCACCCAGAGGCTGAGGTTGGATCAATAAGGAGATGCCTTTGTTAAATCAGACTCTAAACTTTAATTCAATCAGATACTGACCCAGTCATGGACTGTTGGTTCCCAAAGCCTTGGGAGGTCCACATGGTGACAATCTTGGATAATTTTAACATCCAACAAATTACCTGATGCAGGATTGGTCTAGTCTATTACTTAAGCCATGTAGCTAACATAATCTGCTGATTGGTTAAATTTGCTGTTGTTCAATGATTATTCTGATAATCATAGACACCATATGCGGTAAATATTAGCCTTATCAATTAATAGGCAGTAAGCATGCTTTCAGTAGGGTCATCACTGATACTGGCCCTTCCTGTATCAGGAGGGCAGAAGGGGCTGTGATATTTTTGTCATCTTACAGAGTAGCTGTTATGTTATTGTGTCTTGCAGCTGCATAGTTGGAAATATGTATAGATAATGTGATTACACAAAGTGTCCATAGATGTTTTCAGTACATGAGTACTGGCAGTGTGTGTGCACATGCAAGTGTGTGTGTGCACATGTGTGTGTGTAAATGAGAGGTGCCTTCTTACAGGCCGCATAGCCAAGTACAAACATTGAGAAAAGCAGGAAGAATGTACTTTCACATATCACAGAGAAGAATCAAGGGAATTTTCTAATGCTAAAATTAGAAAATCAATACTTAGAAAAATTGTGTCATTCCACAAACATAATAGACTGTATTCACTAAATGTACAGGACTGTGTTCTGTGTATTAAATCAGATGCAGTTTTGATCTCTGTGCCAGAGAATTATAGACTCAAGTGTGCACTAGAACATCCGTGATTTCAAGTGGTGACATTTAGTGAGCACATGCAGCTCTAGGCTTCAAGATGCTCACGAGTCTCCTTTCGGTCACCACCCAGTCACTGCACTTACTCTGAAAAGACTGTGATGTACACACTGGAATCATTTGAAACTTAGAGTAATGCAAAGGAAGAGTCTGGATTACTTGAACACTATTAACAGTTCACAGCCACCTGCGAAACAAGTCCTGCTTTCAAATTGCAAACTTTCCTCCTTGCCTCCCCTGGTAGTATGATCAGATAACCATTGATAAAAGCCGAGCATCAGGTAAGACAGAGTCCCTTATGCAAAATAAAGAGTTTTCCATTAATTGCCTTAAATTATGTGTCTATTCATTCCTCACCTAAATTCCCAAGAGAATGTACGATGGAGTAAAAGCACACATAAGGAAACGTATGAGGTACAGAAAAAGAAAGATGAGTTTGAGACCACAGGAATCATTGAATGTTAAGTGCAGCAACGACACTATCTTACTAGTAACTAACACAAAAATTATCAAGTGCTTATTTCTCCATATTCAGAAGACAAAAGCCAACCTATTTTCCAGGAATATTACTTTTCTCCCTATTCTGAAACCAAAACTATTTTGTTTTCACCCATGACTTCTCCAAAAAAGGGCAACATCATCAACAGCATCCCTAGCTGTAACATACCCCTTTGTAGAGCTGCTTTTGAAGATATCCCTCCTGGTGAGCCCAAGCCATATCACATACAGCAGCTGAGTAGAAATAATTTTGCAGAGACTGTTGATTCACAGCTGTTGTTTGATGCTGTCTTGACCATCTGCAGTGACAATTTATAAGTTGAAAAGTATTAAGAAAATAAATCACCATGTATCTTTCAGGCATCAACTATATTTAATACTTTTCTCCACTGAGTTTTAGGTGAATATTAAGCACCAATATATTTGTTCTTATATTCCTGAATAACAATGCATGTTATGTAGATACTGACTGTGGCTATGGAATGCAGAGTCATTCTTGTTAATATTTACCTGAAAGCCTCTTTGGAAATTTGACAAGCTTTCCCAAAACTCAAGCCTAAAGAGAAGGCCACTTTCCTTCCTCTGTTTGGGAGTGAGCTGAATGTCTGCAGACATAACAAATATCTCACCAAGAAATAACTTAGGATCCTCTTTAACACAGGTGAAGAGATGGTCAAAGCCTTAGGACTCTGTTGGCACATTTGTTTTAACCCTAAATGAGAAACTTTCTTTAGAACGCGTATATGCTTGGCGTTAAAAACATCTCAGCAATCTGTAGCCCTCCCCAGTGTAATTGACCGACCAAAGGAAACATTTCCTGATGACCAAGTGTCTATTTAGGGAGCAGAATAAACTGACTTACTATATGAGATTATCTGCTATTTAGACAGTTAAATATTTGTGTATAAGTAAGGGCATATGTTTAAAATACATGACTTTATTGTAAGTTAAACTCTTGATTCTTTCTGAAGCGATTGGAGACTTTCCAATTTTTGACAGTGCTTCTGAACCTATGTATTGATAAGGAGTTGTTTTATTTTTCATTGAGTTGATTCTCTGTCCAAGATACAGAACTTAGCATCGATGCACCATTCTACTAAAAGCACTCTTTATGATTCACCAAGGTGGTTACAGCTAGCCCATACGCACAAGATACTATTTGGAGTCAGGGTAGTGTATGGTCATGTGGCAAAGAGGACGCACAGTGGTTTGCTGAGTTATAAAAAGTTCTGGCAAAGTCAGCGAGGGCAAAAGAGTTTTAATTTTGTTTTCATGCAGCTTTGCCAAGAAGTAAAGCTTCGGAGGAAAATCAACAGGAGTGAACGTTTGAAGATCGTTGGTCTTGATCATGAGAAGGGTGTTGGCGATGAAACCTTGACATCTTCTCCAGATGAGCTCAGTTCAGGACAATGTGAATTCACAGAGATGGATCACAGCAGCTCTCGGAAAAAGGTGCAAGAGATGGAGCAGAGCTTACTTGATGAATGTAACTCAGTGTGTAAGGGACAAAAGTCACCAAAACAATCAAAAGTAGGGTTCATGGACCCATTGGCCACAGACAAACAAGAGGAATACGAGGCCCAGCCTGGCCCAGGGGCTTCAGGAGAGGAGAGGAAGAGCTGCTCTGGTGCCCTTAGCACAGTGAGTAGACCACATTGGCTGTACACGGTTTCTCCGACGCCTGTGTCTCAGGGTGCTGACCTGCGCTTGCCTCTCTGCTCACAGGCTCTTGAAGAACTCGCTAAAGTTAGTGAAGAACTGTGCAGCTTTCAAGAGGAAATTCGAAAGCGGTGTAACCACCGAAGGTGAGACGGGACCTCTACGCTTATCTTATTTCAGAAATACCAAAACAGTATTATTTGCCTCCTCCTTACATTCTGTTAGTGAGAATGAATGAGTTATTAAAATGCATGTGTTGGATAGGGATAGCCTCCAACTGTGTACCTTTCTGTTCCCTAGTTCTTAAAACAGATCTTCCAGTTGTCTGTGCAATTGGATGATTAGGAGTCCTTTAGTCTCTCGGCAGTTAGTTAAGTAAATCTTCCAGAAAAGATTAAGAAATATCCTCTTATATCATTCCTTTTAATTTTATTTTATTTTTCATGAGTAAACTGTGCTTTACTTTACATAATAATGTTTGCACAACTGACTCTCTGGAAGATGTGGAATTATTACTAAAATCATTGGCACATTGATTGTATAAATTAACTGTACTGAGATGTTCCCATCCACGCTGCACCCTGCCTTGACCGTCTCCACGCACTCGCCTCCCTGTACCCTCCTCCTCCTCTCCTATCAGCACCCTTCCCACAGCCTAGTGACTCTTCTTTCAGGTTGTCTTTCTGTGTCTTTCAACATGTAGGAGAGAAGGTATGATACTTGCAATGTGATGCATATCTTTCTGTGTCTCATTTATGTTGCTTTATATGATGTCCAGCAGTTCCACTCACTTTGCTGCAAATGATGGGATTTTATTCTTCTTCATTGCTGAGTAATATTCCATTTTCTGTATGTACCTTATCAAATATAGTTCTCTTTCATTTTGATTATTTGGCTAATGGAAGAGTACACCAATGGACTTACCCTGTTAAATACAACTTTAAACTACGTCAGAAATTAAGAATGTGGTATGACAATTATATATGATGTTCTACTGAAACATTTTACACCCAAGAGTCACTTACTTCTCTACAATTAGTTTTTACAAAGACATATGTAATGTAATTTTCAGAATAACACATAAATATGTTCACACATACACACGCACACAATGCCACTTCAATTCAGAAACAAAATATAACTGTGAGAGTAAGCTGTAGCCAAATTACAAATTAATTTTGAAGTCTCCACATGGTCAACCAAGATGGGTTATTCTGATGTTAGTCTCCCTCCTGAAGGAGCCATATGCGCCTCTTAAAAGCGGCAACGGTGCACTCGCTTGTTTTTCCTTAGCTCTTAGGAAGCTGAGAGAGAATTTTTGCACAGACTTGCAATGGATTTTCTAAACTAGCTGTGTTTTATACATAATTTTGGCCTCCCCTGACCCATTTAGCTTTTCCTACCATTTTGGTAGTGGGTATTTCTCTGTACTTTGTTGTAAGCTAATCATTTATAAGTTGAATAGGTCTATGTGAGTTACATTTATTGATATGATTAAGCTTGTTTGTGAATCCACATTCATGCTATATTTGAGGTTTTTACTTAAATAACTCAGAAAAAAGACTTATTTTCCAGTTTTTGTTTACAAGTACCACCTAGTTCAAAACTTACATTGTCACATGATGGCTTTTAGAAAAAAGTTGAAAATTTTTCATGTATCATTCAGAGACATTGCAGTTTTTCCGGAAGACATCATGCATGGACACAACTTCTCCCATTTTTCATTGTTTACTCCACTATGCTTTAAATCCACCCACACCAAAGTACTCATTGATTCTTGAATGGCTTCACTGTTTTTATCATAGTTTAACCTGCCTGTATGCCCTCACTGGACTCATTAAAAAAAAAAAAAAAGCTTACCTTTCTTTTGAGCTCAAGAGACACCTTCCCTTTGGAATTACTTTTGTCTCACTGCACTTTTATTCAGATTTCTATCTTACTACTTAATTTGTTATTTCAAATTCAAGAGGAGTAAGATGAGCTCCCATTACCTGATGAGTAGGAATTCCAAAGGCAAAGAGGAGGTAAGGAAATGGCAAGAGAAAAGCTATAGAAATGGGAATTCAATAGCAGAAACACAAGAGGTGGCACAGTACATTCAGAGTTTACTCTGAAGTTTCAAGTAGTAGCCAAAATGATAAAGATAGCTTCAGGCAGGCAGAACGTGTAGAACCTTGAATGTAACACTGAGTGCTGACTTTGACCTACAACAAAGGGGTCTTGAAGTTTTTGACTTGAACATTTGTATAAAAATTGTGTTTGAGGAAACTGTGACTCCCTTTTCCATAGCAGAAACCCATGTTTTCTTGTAGGAGCTCATCCTAAATAAAATTATCACTAAGATATCCCATCTTACAATTATCTAGGATGAAGTCAGACTCTTTTCTCCAGGAAATGCCGAATGCAATCAGTGCACCTCAGGGGACCCACTTGATCAACAACAGCCAGTGCATTTTTCCAAACAATGTAGAGAAAGAAAAACAGAAAAATCGAAAGAATCTGAGCTGTGCCAGTGTGTTCCAAAACAACTCTGTAAAAAGTCATGGAGTTGGTGCAGTTGATTTGCAAAGACAGGAAATCCCACCAGTTCCTCCTCCAAGGAGCACGTCTCGAAATTTCCCCAGCTCATATTCTGAACAAGCCCAAGAACAGCTGAAGGAAAGTGCAGACCACAACAGCTGGGTAGCCCGTGGGGGTCAGAGTGAAACGAACTGCACTCCTCCTTTTCTTTCGAGACAACATGAGATACCTGCATTGGGTCCAGATAAAGGGAAGACTTTGGAAGACAGTGCCATGTTTTCCTCTTTGACACCAGAAGTCCAAGTGGATAGCAAGCCTCTGGGTAGCGTTAGACTGGGCATGAGCCCATGCAGTGTTGAGAGAGATGCCACAAAGAGCCCCTCTACTTTGTGGATTCAGAATACCTGCTCTACTCCTAACAAGCCACAATTTGAAAATGTGGTTCCAAATCACCCTGCTAAATCTCATCCTGTTGTTCATGTAAGGAATGACGGTGGTTCCTCAGTGGCACAGAGCAATGGCCCGCTCAGAAGTTTCAGTTGTGGCTTTGAAAGGACCACAAGGAATGAGAAGCTGGCAACAAAGACTGATGAGTTTAATAGAACTGTGTTTGGAACAGACAGAAATTGTCATGTGACACAGCAAAATCAAGGCTACTCGCAATCATCCGAAGACAGTAAGCCTTCGATTACCTTAACTACTCCTGTGGGTGGCAAATCAGAAAGTGACAATGTGACTTATATTCAGAAAACCAGTGCTCGTGTGCCTGAACCCACAGAAAATGTGCCTGATAATCATACCAAGAAATCCACAACCGGCCCAGTCAGACAAATGCAGGAGCGTATCAGTCCTGGCAGTTACCGGAATATGCTTCACGAGCGAGACTGGCGACCAAGTAATTTATCTGACCGACCAAGATCAGCTGACCCCAGGTCAAATTATGGAGTTGTGGAAAAGCTGCTGAAAACATATGAGACATCAGCGGGGTCTGCATCATGGAATTCTAAATGCTTGGGAGAAAAGTGGACCAAATGTGACAGTGACATCGGTGGTAGAACCCCGTCAGGTCAACATTTAGAAGGGATTCAAATGGAGCAAGAGTTTCAGCCAAGGACAGTCTGGTGTGGGGGGCAGCAAGTGAAGCAAGGAGGAGATCAGAGAAAGGTGGCTGAGGTAAGAAAGCAAGCTGCATGGTGTGGTGGGACTGCATCTGTGTTTAGCACAGGTTCTGGTTCAGTTCCGCGGCCCGTTCATATAAATAGAAGGCAGACACACGTTTTGGCATCTTCTTAGCGTCTTGATCCTTTGTGAATAAATATAACTCAATGTGAACTTAACATGTACTTTTTAAGAACGGGACCAGCACATTATAACTCTGTAAAAAAATGAATAAATGACATTAATATAGTAAGTGGATTTAAGAACTTCGGGAAGATCAAAGATCTGTCATCTATTTTTTTATTAAATTGAAAATGTAAATTTGTGAATTTACACAATTTTACTCTTTAAAGATTTATTTTTTAAGGATATAGAAAATATTTGTCAAAAGAACTTTGACTTTGCAGTTATCAAATATGCCTGGTTCAGTTATACTTAGCATTTGATTATGTTCTCATAGGACTGGTCATACAATGTGAATATTCGTAAAACACAAATTTTAAACAGAGCCTAATAAAGTTTTCTTACCTGTAGAACTAAGACACGGTATGTAGGAAAAGGTCATTCTTATTTATGTATATTTCTTGCTTGAAAACTGCCAAAAAGTGAGTATTTCAATAAATTGTTACCCTTTTTCCATCCTATCCATTTAAAAAAATACAATCTGCATTAAATATAGGAGAATAAGAGACCAAAGAAACTGATGTTTAAAATGAAGAGCTATAAACTAATTCCTTTTTGTGCATGTCACTTTTTAAGAACAGAACTTACAAAAGATTACAAGAAGTTATACTGTTAGTCAACATTACAAAAATTCTAATATACATAATGTCTGTATTTTAAACCTTGCAGATTGCCTCGATGTAAAAAAAATATGCTTTTTAAATTCTTTAAAAATATCAGTTTCATCCATCTTATCAGAAACTTTGCCTGTTTTCATAGAGTGTAATTTTGCCTGTTTTCATAGAGTGTAATTTCATAGAGTGTAATTAATTTATTACCCTGAATTTGTATTCCTTTACATTTTAGTTGAGCCCATACCTGCAAGGTGCTATGGCTGGAGACAGAAAATGAAAACTTGTGTACGTTATCCAACAAAAATTCTCGTTAACCAATAAGGAATGCAAAATGTTTCCTTTTTTATTTTTTTTTTCCATTGTTTGAAGATTTGGGACAGGAGTACTATGCTATAGATTCTTAGGAGTATTTTTCTTTTGTTCGTGTTTTGTTTTCCCCTGTGAATAAATTTAAAAAATAAATCTCCAAAGAGAAAAAGAAAACCCAGATCATGACTGAAATAATAGAAACTAAGCCCATCCACACTGCCCATCTCAAATCAAAGAGTGCAGATTTGTAAAGAAAGCCAATCAGATATAAGTGTATAAAGTGTCATGGAAGCTGTGTAATTGCATAATTGTTAGTGTCCAAGGAAGCTATTCTTCCATCAAAAGAAAGAGGGAATAAAATGAAAGAAAAAAGAGGGAAATAATTTCACTTACTGAATGTCCAATGTAGATAGCAATGTTTTATTAACTCCTAGAGTGAAAATGTATTTAAAGTATCTTAGGACTTTGAGTATAGGTTAGTAGTAGAGCACCTGCCTAGTGTGAATGAGGTCCTGGTTTTCATTCTTAGCACTAAACACACAAAAAAGTTTTAATGATAATTTGACCCAGCTATTCCCCTTCTAGGTATCTTCCCAAAAGAGTTAAAGACATCACAATACAGTGATCCATGCATACCCATGTTTACAACAGCACAATCCATAATAGCTAAATCATGGAAGCAGCCTGTATTCTTATAAACAGATAAGTGGATAAAGAAAATGTGGTATTTATACACAGCGGAATACTACTCTGCCATAAAGAAAAACAAACTTGAGTCATTTATAGGAAAATGGATGCTTGAGGCCTCATGTTAAGTGTTATAAATCAAACACATAAGCTTAAATATCACTTGGTTTGTATTCTATGAGAAACCCAAAGTGTAAATAAAGAGCAACATAACAAATGACAGGAAGTAGAGGGATATTTCTCAAATATTAAGGGGATCAAGAGATGGAGGGAAGGAATAGGAGGGCAAGAGAATTTTTAAAAAAGAATTAAGATATTTTATGTACATGTACCAACCCCCCACAAGGAATGTAAATATTATCATTGCAGACATGGAGTAATAAAAATCAGTCAATCAATCTCTTATGAAATAGTTTCACAATCAATGATCCTCAGTTTTTTTAAAAAAGGATCAAATGAATCACTTTTGATTTATGATCTCTGAAAGTGTCAATGAGTCAAAAAGACAAAAAAAATTTTTCTTCCATAAATATCCCATTAAGAAACATCCTAGTTCCATCATGTTGAAGTTGGTTTTCTTGAACATTTGACTCTTGTGTTTGTAGTTCTACAAGAAGATCAATTATATTAAAATTCATGCCAAATTCCATAGTAAAATTGAAATTCTTATTAAAGCATGACATGTAAGGCTACAAATATTAGACAAATACCTTGTTTAGTTTTTAGTGTTTTTCTTGCTCATACGTTTCCTAAGACATTAATCCCATACTTGGAGCCTGTTGTTAGTGTCCGTGTAGTGAGATTGATGTCTTTTTTTGTGCCCTAGGAACCCATGGCTGTGAAAGCCACCCATGGAAAAGGATTTTTGCGTCCTGCTAGGCCCGCAAATCGCCGTCTCCCATCCAGATGGGCACCCAGATCTCCATCCGCAACCCCTGCCTTGCGGAGAGCTGCCCCCAACTGCACCATTTCTCTCCGGGCTGAACCACCCATGGTTTAAGTCTGTAGTCTGGATGGCTAGATTACAAAAGTTCTATTCCTGATTGCCAGACCAAACATTCTGAGTGTTTACAGCTAGTCCTGTTTTCTCCTGTATCTTTCAAGATTACTGGGACGAGCAATTTAAATCTTAACTTTCCATCAGTCTTCAGTGTTTTTAACCTACGGAATAATGATCTCCTTGTATTTTTATTTCTTAGATCAGAATTTCTTAATGTCATATTCATTAATTCCCCCATATGATTTAAGTTGAGACAATGTACAATACTGTATATTCTAACTTTCTTGCGAGTGGCAGAAAGCAAGGTTATATGCATGGCCATGTATTTGTAGGTGCATGTCTTTCAATAGGAAGTACTCGTATGTACTTAGATAAGAAAAACTTATGTGCTAGTGTTGACTTTGAAATTATAATATGTACACCCATAAATTCTTTGTGTTTATTTAAAAGTTTTGAAAATATACATTACTATTTATATTTTGTATACCTTTTAGTAGGTATCTGCCTAAAAGCATTTGAAGTTCATATATTAATTAACCACTTCCTTGGCCCACAAGTATGTTGAAAAATAAGAATTATACACATATCTAACATTAGAAGTTTTCTAAATACACCTTATGAATGACTTCTTAACCTATTTATAAGGATAAACTAATACCATTGATTTTCTTGTTTATTCTTTTCAATAGGAGTCACAAGTTTAACAGATCAGCCTTCTAAAGCAAGCATAAAATGTTGATAAATGCTTTTATACATCATGTGGTGGTCTCAAATGGCTTTAACTGTATACTTGATTTTCTGAGCCAGTGTCATGAGACTGCCTTATGAACAACAGAACTAAGTAATGAATTTGTCAACTTAGTAAAGAACATTCCTTAAATGGGATGCAAAAACTTTAAATCATGTTGAATTTTCCTTTTTTTGTTAAAATTGTGGTAAGCTTTTAGTTTTGCTTTATCTGGAGTCATATATATTTAAAGGTAAGTTGTTCTTTCTTCCCTTTCTTAACTTTTTCCCTAAACTAGTGGAAGGACTAATTCAGTTTTTTTTTTTTTTAATTAACAAGGAAGGTCAGGAATAATATTTCATTGAGAGCTCTGGATTACAGTATATTTCTTATGGTGTGCTATCTACAAAAAAGCCTTAAATGAAACTTTGGTAGCATAAGGAACAGAAATGTGTATCTTGGCTACAATTTGCATACAGAGAATGAATAAAATTTATCTTGAGAATGGATATAAATAGGAATGTTGAAGGGCTTGGAATTTTACGTAGAGGATCTTACAAGAAACTTTTTCTCTACTGTCTCCATTTATAATAATTTTTTATAGTGTTAATTACACATTAACTATATTTAGGCTTTTATTTTCTACCTTTATCTACACATCTCTATACTCAGGATTTCTTTTTTAAAAAATGAAATTCCTGAGCGCTTTCTCATAACTAGTAAAGCAACATTTCCGGGAGTTGGGACTGAGATCAGGTGTCTTTAATAAAACCAAACAAAATGAAGTAATGCAAAATATTTGCTGAGCAGCCAGATTTGCAAGCAGTGACATGAATGGATACCTGAGCAGGTGGGTCATCTTGGTTGGTCATTTTCTTCCCTGGAACTTGCCTTTGTCATCCATAAATGAAAAGGCTCATTTGCCAAATTTCACAATTTTAAGCCCTTTTTACTTTATAATCTGAATGAACAGAACCACTGGGACCATTTTAACACCTCCTTATGTTAACTAAAATTGCAGAATACTGGATCGGAAAACAATAATTAGTATCAAGTCCAACCTCTGAATGTAAAACAAAAGAAACTAATTCTGTGCTCTCCTTTTAAGTATTTTGTAATGTTTTAATGGAAAAACCTATCAGGTAAAAGGAAATTATCCTTGCAAACATTTTCACTGTATTGTGATTTTTAACACATAAATTTTCTACTTGAGATGGGCATTTTCTTCCCCAAGTTTATCTTTCATGGTCCAATCATTGCTGGACTTAAGGAATTTATTGATACTTATAAAAACCTTTAAGTATGCCTGTTTATAGATGTTTTCCCTAGAAGAACTTTGGGAGGACAATCTTACATTACTTCACAAAGAGTTACTGATATTATTGGCTGAACTGAGGAAAGAGTAAAAATCAAACAGAGAACAGTGCTGAGTTTCTGTGTGTGTGATGTGTGCCTCCTGCTCTCATAGAAATTCTAGACATTGCCTTGCATCCCAAAGCCCAGTGTAAAAATATAGATGATGCTCTGTATCATTCACTGTTTAAGAAATTATGTACAATCTTCACTTGTTTTTATACAGAGATAGTGAAGATGACATTTCATTTGACTGATAGTACCCTAAAACATGATTTATTTCAATAGCAGTGATCTAACCAGGGTCCATATCATCTGGACCTTAAAAAAAGTATCTGCTTCCCTAAAAAGATCTCTAAAATTATTTCTAGGCACTCTTGCTGATAAAAAGTTACTTGATATAGAAATCTTCAATTCTTGGAAGTTATTAAATAAAATAAGTTTGGAAACACCCTCTGTGGCATTTGTATATATTGAGAATATTTCTATTTTCCTCTTGTACAATGTATTCTAGTAAATCTGAGAGTCTTAACAAGTCTAAATTCAAGTAATTCAAATATAGCATATCCCAAAATATGTTTAAATAATAGAACTTAAGGCAAACCTGCCTGATTCCATGCTCCTAAGCACATAAACCCATGTAGTTTCTCACACAATGATAGTCACTGTGTCCATTTAACTGTTCAGTAAATTTAGCAAAAGTTTTCTTTGTCTGAGACAGTTTCACTGTGAAGTTCAGGCTGGCCTTGAGCTCACTTTGTAGCCCAGGCTGACTTTGAACTCACAGTTATCCTCCTGCCTCACCCTCCAGAGTGCTGGGATGACAGGCATGGGCCACCACACCTGACCAACAGTCTTCTTTGAAAAGAGCATTCACTTCTGAAATTTGCATTTGTAATACTACTTTGCTTTGGCTTCTCCATGTTTTTCTTAAGTGGCAAGTCCTTTCGTCAGAATTTAAAACTGTGTCTTATTCATCTCACTTAGAAAATATGCTTCTTCAAAAAATGGGCTTCCTCATGCAAAAAAGTTTTTAAAAACTGTAGAGAGAGCCCTTGGGCAAGTGCCAGCGATGATGGTTACTCAATTATTTTGATATATAAATTTTTCTTATCATAGGAAATAATTTTTGTTTCTGTGGAAGTAAGATAACAAGACTTAAAACTGAATTCACATTTCAATGATCTAACAAATCCAATGGGTTAGACTGGCAAATTCTAACAAAAAAGGGGAAGAACAAGAAAAATCTAGAGTCTCATATGAAGATCTGAGGGGCGGAGATTAGAGAAGAATCCAGTTAGGAGTCACTCAGAACAGTCTGGCTGTGTGTGTTTGTTTTTGCAGTACTGTGGGACTGAACCCAGGGTCACTGTGCACCGAGCTACACCCTCAGCCTTTTTCATTACTTTGTTTTGAGAAAAGGTCACACGAAATTCCCCAAACTGGCCGTGATCAGGAGACCCTCCTACCTCAGCGTCTTGCGTGGCTGAGATTACAGATGTGTGCCATGGTGCCTAGCTAACAGTCTTGATTAAAGGCAAAGCCCCTGAGACTGTGGGTGCCTGTGCTGCCAGCGTTACAAGGATGGTATCAGAGCTGAGCCTCTAATACTGTGTCCTCTTTCCCTGTATTAATGCTCCAAAAACGATAATTAGAATACATCTTTTGAGATGATAAAAATAAGTAGCTCTTCAGTCTGCTGGCTTAGGCTCTTTTTCCTATCTTCTTTTCCCATACAAAGAAAAGAGGAAGAAAAAGAATGAACACTTATTTTTTCATTTTTGTTCTGTTACGTTTTATACATGACACTGGAATTATTTTATTTTTATTTAGTTTCTTTTAATTCTATGATCTTAATCAAAAATCACCCCTCTTTCTTTATACGGTTTTAACAAATACAAGAAGCATGCAAAGCTGATTTTAGAAAAATCTGTCCTACTTTCAGTGCCTGTCCTCTGATTTCATATAAGCTTTGTACATGGAACGTGATGTTGAAGGTGAAATCAATAAGCATTTACAGGGGCTGGGGGTTTAGCTCAGCGGCAAAGCGCCTGCCTGGCAAGTGCAAGGTCGTGAGTTCGGTTCCCAGTACCGGAAAACAAAACAAACAAACAAAAAAAATAAGCATTTACAAAATTCTGGCCTTCTCAGCCCGAAAGAGTCACAGAAAGTTTCATGCTATATATCGTACATGCACTGCAGGATAAATGGGAGCCTTCCTTATGAAGCACCATCTCGGTCCATTGTGCTGCTATAAGAATATACCTGGACCTGGAGAACTCATAAAGGACAGAAATGTGTCTTTCACAGTTCTGGAGGGTGGGATTTCTAAGATCAAGGTGCTGGCAAATTCACTGTCTGCAGAGGACTGTTCTTTGCATCCAGGATGGTGCCTTGTTGCCATACCTCACATGACAAAGGCCATATGCTCACCCTACGTGGCAGAAATACAGAACAGCAGAAAGGAGCTGGCTGGTGTGTAGTCTCTTTCAATAAGGGCCCCAAATCTTGTTCATGAGGGAGGAGCCCCCATGATTTAGTCATGGCTTAAGGTCCTCACTCTGAATACTATTGCAGTGGAGACTAACTTGCTATGGGAATTTTGTAGGCGCACATTCTAACTGTAGCAAGCAATTTCTTCCCGTTTACCTCTCGCTTTGATTTAATTGTGCTCTGCCATCAGTTCCTCTTTGAAGCTTCATATTCCAATTAAATCATTTGTGTGCCAGTGTTATAAGAATCATTAAACAAGTTTAATGCTGCTATTTGAGATCTGCACATTTTTTTCTACCTAAGGCCGATCAGTTTTAAAATAATACCCAATGATCAAGCCTGAATAATATATCTTTATTTCAATCTTTGCTAGAAATTTTGGGTTTAAAATAACCCAGTGATGGGGTTGTCTGAGTTAATGTTCTCTGTTAGTTTGTAATGAAAGTCAAAGAAGTAGCCACAGTATTTTTTAAAGGAAGGTAAGTGTAGGAATAATAGGAAAGAATTATTAAACTGTGGAAGACACATTGTTGGTAATAAAAACTTTTTCTAGGAAAGCTCAGGCTAAAAGAGAAGCTGAGACCTGGGCGGGGGGAGGTCATCAAAAGCAAAATGGTGGAGTTGATAGCCGGCCTCAATGCATTGATGAGGTATTTGCTCAGCAAAAGCAAGAGTGAGCTTCCCGCCAGATCCAGAGCCTGTAACAGCATCACACAAGGACTTGGGACAGGAGCTACACAGGTGCTCATCCTCAAGGAGATTTCTTGAGCAGCGCTCCACACTGCATGCAAAGCCTGGGTAGAAACAAGTGTCCAGGCAAGGAAACCTGTAAAAGCGAGATCTGAGATCAAGAAACTCAGAGTGCAGGAGCCAGGACCCACCCAAAGGCAGTTAGGAGAGTAACCACCACTGACCCGACCCACTACCCAGCAGGCTGAGTGCTTACCTCAGGAATTTTCAGGAACTGCAAGGGACAGGACGCCCACAGAGGACCTCACTGCGAGGGAATGAGAAAGATGCAAAGAGGAGCCCTCTCTTCTCTCTCCACATTTACTGTTATTTTCTTCTGACTCTATCCCCAGAACTCAAAACTTTACTAATATAACAAAATCACTCATAACTCATATGATAGATGGTAAAAGCAACATTAGATGCCCAGACATTAAAAATTATATTTTCCTGCAACACATATTTAAAATAGACTCATAATTAAATACAGACATCATTTTTAGAATTGAAAAAATGACACTGTTACAGGAGGTAGTTAAACAGTGGGAACGCCTGTATTGTTTCAGTGAGAGCTGCATGCAGCCAAGGAACAACATACACTGCGATGTAAGTACAGAGGATGAAATGTAACCACTTAGTCTGAGTCCTGTCTAAATAGAAGGGAGCTGATCTGCGCGGAGCCCAAGAAAAGGGATTCCAAGAGCAGGAATTTCCTGGATGGATTCAGTGTGATCCAGAGTGAAAGGCCAGGGTCTGAAAATAGGAACTTCCTGCCTCTTCCAATCTGTGAGGCCTCTGTGGCTCCCTCAGCCGCATCTGTGTCACCGGATGTCACAGGAGGTCACCCTCTTCTGTCCACTCGCGTATTTCACATTCCCCCAAAAGAGCGGCCTGATCAATTAACTACCATAGGTACCTAGGGAAGTTAGAGACCTACAGCAGTGTTTCTTGAATGTTTCCAGGAAGTCCCTTCTACTAATAGAGAAAAGAAGCAGCCACCCAAGAGTCTAACGGTGTCTAAAATAGACCATTGTAAGGGAAAACGTTTTAAATTGGAACAATTTTAATTCGAGAAACTAGTTCATAAGCAAACAGGAATTTTGTCTGCTTTGTTCACTGATTATACCAAGCACTTAGAAAAATAACAGCAGATACAAGGTTACATGAATTAATGAATCACTTGCAATCCGGAAAAAAATGGTTTTCCTCTGTGTCTTTATTTAATCACAGCTGAACTGAATTGGTTTATTTCATAAATTTGAGCTCAGATTTGCATCATGGTAAGTTCTCATCTTGTGTCACCATATTTTGAGAGTCTAAACCCACAGAAAAATGGGTATGCAAGTGAAATTGGCTTTATCTTTGTTTTGCAATATTTGTAATTGTAATCACTGAGGTAAAATGAACAGAACATTGCTAAAGAAATGGTCTAACCAAGTGTTTCAGATGACAATAGAAATTTTGTTAAATATCTTTCAACAAAAATATCAAAGGACTTGTGTCATATAAAATATGATAAGGATTTCCTTTTGTTGCTCGGGAGAATATAGCTGGAAGACTTCTTCTCTGGGGCAGGAGGAGATCAAGCCCAGGGCCCCAGGCCTGGTGATTTACCACTACACTGCATTCCCAGTCCTCAAAGGACCTGTGTGATGGACAAAAACAATAGATTACTTCAGCTTTTGTCACATGCAGTTAAAATAAGCTTTCAAAATTTACTTGTCAATAAAATCACCTCTTCTCAACTGTCACATTTTCATTCTGACACATAATCTGCTCACACCCATTGAAAGCCTTTATATCTTCATGCTCAGATAAGCCACCCTTGAAATGTCTTTGTTAAATAGGCTGGCTTTGAGAATCCTTGTCGACCCCCCAGCAGTGATTCATTTTAATCCACATTTTAACCACTGCCATAAGTTTTTCACTTGCCAGCTTTAAAAAAAGCTCATCCCGGTAACTGGAAGCCTAAGCAGCATCTCCTCTGCCTGTACCATTAAGCACGGGTGTCAGTCAGAGAACAAGTCTTCAAACTCAGTTCACATTCATTTTCAAATCAATTTTTAAAGATAAGCACTGAAGTATTTTTCTGTTCATTTTAAATAAAAGCCAGAAATTTTTTTCCAGCTCATTCATACACAAAGCAAGCCAAGAGACACTCTTGTGGAGGAGCCACAACCGGTAGGGTACTCCATGCTGCTGAGCGCACAGGTGTGAAAGGACTATCCTCCCACAGCGCCAGCATCATTCGTTTCCATGGATACTCCCACCCATTATGGTTTTTGCATACATTAAAGAAAAATCTCATATTTTTAAAAATTAACTCATTTGTTCCCTATAGGTTACCTTTATAAAATTAGTAAACAAACATCAGTACTTAATCAGATTGCTCACTTAATGTCCATGATTTCAGACTTAAAAAGCAAAGTTAAGATCCATCTCTCAGTCCTTCCAGGATGTCCCTGTGTGTTGGAACTATTTGGTGGAACATCAGTCAGTAAATACAGCTTTTTTGCCTTGCCTATTTCTTTTGATTCTCCACACAGATGTAGATGTAACTGCTGTGTGAAACTTCCCCAACCTGCTTTATCTTCTTTTGTGAGTAAGTTTGAATTTAATTAACAAGTAAAACAGTATTTATTTTTCAACTGGGCTTTTTACACCTAGTCGATCTATTTTTTTCTTCATTCGTACAATAATTTCTGGTTGTTTGTTCAATTTCCTTTCACCACAAAAGCTATAATAGTTCATGCAATTATTCTCAGGGTTTTTTCCACTGGAAGGTATAAAGAATTAGACCTTTGGCATTTAACACAACATTTCATTGTATGTTGGTATTATGGTACCATTTTGTGTGACGTATAGAAAACTTAGATCCTTTTACTTACCTTACTTTAAAATATAAATGTCAAATATTTTGAGTAAATATTTTAAGCAGGACATCAAGTCATGTTATAATTTTAGTTTAAGTTCTTCGTTTAAAAACTCAGGCTCCTGTTTCTTTTCTATTTAGGGGACATCCTCCTCTTTGTCAAAAAGAAGCTTGAGCCCAGAGCCTCAGGAATGCGAGGCAAGTGCCCAGGCACTAAGCCACATCTCTAGCCTCTGGTTAGATGTTTTTTAGGGTAGTTCTTCTGGTGAGAATGTTTTTCAGTTTAATTTCCTGTAAAAATTATTTTTCCTTGCTTCTCAAGCCCCTTTTCACTAAAGTTCACTCTTGAATAACCGTATGCTGTTTCCTTGCGAAACAGCATTAAGATTTTCAACATCGACTGGTTTTTTTTTTTTTTTTTTTTGGTGTACTAAATCTAAAAAAGAATACACATAAAACTCTTTCCGAGGTTTCACATTTTTAAAATTTCACTTTCATCCTGTGTCCTGTGGCTAGCAGAGTGTGTCGCTATATAATCTTCCAAATTTTTTGCTTTCTTTTTTTTTCCTCTAAGTAATTTGATTGTGATGTGTTTGACATGGAATTTTTTGTGTTTATTCTGAGTTTCACTTAGCTGTTTGAGTCAGTAGCTTTATGGCTTTCACCAATTTAGACAAGTTTTCTGCCATTTTTTGAATAGTCCTTGCCGTTCCCTCCTCTTTATCCAGGATATAAAAATTGAATTTTTCGTTATTATTGCACAAGTGACATTGATAACTTTTGAATAATGAATCAGCTTTACATCTCCGGAATAAATGTCATGTGTTCACTGCTTGTGAGAGTGTTTGTGTCTGTGTGTGTGCTTGTGTGTGTGTGTCTCAATTCAGCTTGCTAGTATTTCATTGAGGATTTTTATGTGTGAATTCACAAGAGATTTTGGTCAGTTGTTTTTTCTTTTTTTTTTTTTTTCTGGTACCGGGAATCGAACTCACAACCTTGTGCTTGCCAGGCAGGCACTGTGCCATTGAGCTAAACCCCCAGCCCCCAGTTGTTTTCTTTTATGCTGCCTATGTAATGAGACATTAGGAGCCTAACCGCCTCATGAGTTGGAGTGTTTTCTCAGAGAGAGTGTGTAGTATGGGGATTAATACTAATTCTTCTTTAAATATTTGGTAGAATTCTCCCATGAAATCATGTGAATCTTAAGGGTTTCTTTTCCCAACTGTGGATGCGGTTGCTCTTGGGGTTGTTGGGATAATCAGACCATCTCATTCATGTTGGGTAAGCTTGATAGTTTGTACTTTTTAGAGGATTGGGTTGTTTTCCTCTGAATTGTTAAATCTGAAGACAGGGATGGTGGCACATGCCTGTAATTCCAGCACTCGGGAGGCTGAGGCAGGAGGATTGCCATGAGTTTGAGGCCAGTTTAGGCAACACAGTAAGTTCAAGGCCAGCCTGAATTACACAACGAGACCCTGTCTCAAAAAAACAAAAATAAATAAATGAATAAATAAATTGTTAAACTTGTGTCTTCTGTGTTTGTGGTATTCTTTTCGTATCCCTTTAATGACTGAAAATCTGTAGGTATATTGCTTGTTTTAATTTTATACTGTTAATTTGTATCTTCTTTGTTTTTATATTTGTCAATGTTAGTAGTTTGTCAACTTTTTTTTCAAAAAACAAGTTTTTAGTTTCTACTGAGTTTCCATTTTGTTTACATTGATATCTGACCTGATATTCATGTTTTCTTTCTTCTGGTTATTTTAGATCAGTTTTTCTACATTTTGTCCAACTTCTTGAGGTGAGAACTTACATTGCTGATTTGAGAAAGTTGCCCTTTTGTAACGTGTTGAATGTTTTTCTTTTTCTGCTTAGCACGGCATTAACCTCATGTCACTAAATTTATTATGTTCTATTTTCATTTTCATTCACTTCTACCTGCTTTTAAACATTTTTCTACAAGACGTCCTCTTTAACCCAAGTACATTACTTGATTTTCAAAAGTTTTAGATTATCCTGTTATCTTTCTGTGGTTGATTTCTAGTTTGATTCCATTACAGTCAAAGTATATTCATTCTATATAGTCTCAGTTGCTTTAAATTTGTTAAAATTTCATTTATGCCTCAGGAGAAGGTCTTTTTCTGGATGAACTGGTCTGGCACAATGTTGACTAGGAATGGCAAGTGTGGATAGCCTTACTTTATTGGCAGTCTTAATAGGAAGAAGTCTGTCTTTCACCATTAAGTCTGATACAAGCTGGAGGTTTTATACGTACTGCCATTAACAGTTTGAAACACTTAGTGTTTATCCTAGGTGGTTTAGTGTTTTTATCATGAAAGGGGGTTGGACTTTCTTTCACAAGCTTTTTCTGCATCTATTCAATTTATACACCAAACTTCCCATGATATATCCTCCTTGGGCAGGTATATAAACCTTTTTTTATGTTGGTCACTTCCATTTCTCAGCATTTTGTTGTGCATTTTTTATCTGTATTCACAGTGGACATTTATTTCTAGGTTTCTTTTTTGAGATGCCTTTGTTGAATATAAGGGTACCATTAGCCTTATAGAAGGAAATGTAAAGTGTTCTTCTCTTCTATTTTTTGAAGATTTTGTGAAGGATTGATATCAACCTTTCTATAAATCTTTGATAAAATTCACCAGCAAACTTTTAAAATATAAATCTTCAAATAAAATTTATATCCCAGTAATCTCTGCTGAGCTTCTAATTTGTCAGTGTCTTCTATTTCCATTCCAAAAGCATGAATATAACTCATTCTTTGGTGAAATATTATGGCTCTTCCACAAAAAATATAATTTTTGAGGTAATTATTCTGATGTCAAAGATATATGTTCTATTTGTAATGTAGGTTTTCTAGTAGCTTCTTATCAGTGCTTTGTCAGGGTACTTTGGAGAACAGAAACAACACCAGGATGTAACCCATAGGGCACAACACCAATTTTGTCATAAAGGCACATTATTGTGGATGTATAACACCCAAGTTTATTCTTTAGATTATTTCTATTAATGAATTATTAATTTTATGAATTTTATTGTACGAAACAAGGAATACTTAACAGGAAAAAATAAAATATTGAATTTTTAGTACTTATTGTTCATAAAAAAGCATTAAGATTTTCAACATCGACTTTTTTTTTGGTGTACTAAATCTAAAAAAGAATACACATAAATTCTTGTATGAACTACAATTAAAATACCAATAGCACTTTACAAAAAAATCTTTACTTCAGTTATCACACCTACAGCAGTCTTCACACATGACAACAACACATTCCAAACACATGTGGCTTACACTGGCAGCACATGTGTTTTGCTTTTTTTGCCATTTCGTAGGACATACTTGACATCTTGCTGGTCTTGGTGTTTTGTGAGGAGATTCATATTATATTATACAGTGTGTAGTTAACAGGAACATAAAATATCCATCAAATAAATATTAAATTTATAATATGTTTAGAATAAACATCAACATTTTCACATCAACTGTGTTCTTGCTTACAAACCTAAACAATAACATCAGAAATAAATTCCTACATAATAACATCAGAAATAAATTCCTATATGAACTACAATGTAGACACAAACAAAAGTCCACCGCAAAAATAATCTTTACCTCAACTGTCACACCCAAGGCAGTCTTCACACATGAAATCAGCATATGACATTTACAAGTATTGCTTACACTGACCGAATGTGTGTTTTGTTTTCTTGTCCTTTTCATGGGGCACAGTTGACATCTTTTGTGTTTTCCT